ACAAGTCAACTTGAAAATAAAGTAAATGACATACTCACCTTCATCAAACACATTCGAACATTCCAACTTCTCTGATTCAACAAATAAAACCCTTATACTCACGAATACCAGGATTTCAAGTTCTTCTAAAGACTCATAAACCCAGTTTCCATGTAAGGCCTATTACTTCAGCATATGGATCACCCATAGAAGGCTTCTCTTGGTTAGTACAAAAAACTTTTACGTGGACTAGCCACTTATATATTACCCAATATTTCTTATAGAAGCTCGCAGATAATGAGCTAAAGCTATGAGCAGACAGCATTCTGTTTCGTTTTCATGAGATTGTATTATATTCATCTATATATATTTAAGAACCAGTAACAACTATCATCGAACTCTTGGGAAAAAAATCTGGATACTGTTGACCTATTCAAATTATCGGTTGATTTAGTAGAAGCGACCATTAGTTGTATTCTACCTAGCAGTTATTTTTCTTTTGGAAATGACAGCAAAAAGTTCCATGTATCGCCGTGGGTAATAAGTTTACAGTAGTTGTTTCTGTTGTTTTCATTCATTTTCTTAAGAAACGAGCCCTACCCGACTTGAAACAAAGAATCTAATATTTTTAGTATTTGGAACCAAAAGATGTAACACTTAAGTGATTTATATGTAAACACCTCAGTAAACTACATCCTATAATTGGCTTCACTCTTGAAACCGGAAACAATACCTAGAAATTTGACTTCGTTTCATTTATTCATAATTACGTGTACTATTCTTCAGTCAGCATTACGTATTTAAAAAATACAGTCTTTTTCTACGCAAAAAAACTAATAGAAAATACGACACAGATCAAATGAACCTTGTAATAAAATTTGCTATCGTTGAAACTGATATTGATAAATTTCGTCTTATTCTGTCGTACTCTTGGTTAAACTAGATACGTTGAACCCCAAGTAAGATATTACGAGTTAAATGATTAGCAGAAAATGGTCAGCTTTCTTGTTTCGGGCATGTAATTTAATTTTCATCCGGGTAAGAGTACTTATCGGATATTAGTTGAAAATTTCTGATGTGGCAATGAAAGTAAAAAAAAAGAAAAGAACAAGCCATCTTTTAGTAATATTACAACCAAATATATATTTGCCACAAATATTCCTAAGGACATCAAATACGAGAAACTCTAACTTGACAACCTAAAACATTTAAAGCTGTTTAAAAACAAACAAACAAATAATTGACATTTATTCTAAAATAAAATACTTTAAATTTTGCAGGTAAAATATCAGCTAAATTATTTTGTAGGGTAACAGTGTTTCAAACTTCAAAAATAATTTTTCAAAGAGTAGGGTAGGCCAGGGTTGGTTGTTCACATGGACAAGTTAATACAATGCCGATAACTTTCATATGCTGTAGTTGATAGCCGTGATATCATGATCATTATCACATCCAAACACATGGCACTTACTGTTATAGTTTCAACAAAATCGGAAACCTCTGTCGTGTGCAGAAGTAAAAATGTATATCTATGGTGTAGGAAGTAAATATTTTGACTCCAAAAAATTGAGATGTTATATTAAATACTTTGTTAAAAGAATGTAAGTTACATAGTTAGAAGTCATTTCTTGCAAAATGGTGGTTTGGGGCAGGTTGACATATTTCACTTGAGGCAGATTGACACGCGTGTCAACCAGCCCCACAATGAGGAACATGCACGTATTTTGTATGTTTTTAAACAAATACAGCAATAATACCAAAATATTTAATGTATTTTGATTAACATCAATTAATGCTTAAATGTTGAAAAAAGAAATGAAAATGAATAAAAAAATGTTGCAACTTCTTCATTGTATTGCCCCTCTTCCATTATTTTCTTGTAATATTATTTTATAAATTTTAAATTTCAAACTGCCTTTGTAGGTATTATTGTGAGAGCCTTTTTTATTTTACTTATTTAAATGTACAATAAATATATTGATATATCCACGTACATCACGTATAATAGTTAAACGAACCACCTAAACGTTACCTTAGTGTAGCCTATAAAATCTGTAAAGTTTAGTGTACTCTAATACCTTATAGTAATGGCACACGACGAGACACACATTCGGCATGTAATGCTGTTTGAATAAAAGAAGGGAAACAACGCCTCTGTAGACATATACGACATCAAAGAAGTTTATGAAAATGTTTTGAACGTTCGTAAGCGTCAACGATTGTTCAGCAAATTTCATTCAGGTGACTTTAGCCTTAAAAAACTGTGATGGAAGGGACCGACATGTTGGAATTGATATTGATGCTCTGAAGACGCTTGTTGAGTCTAACCCAAGGCAACACACTCGTGAAATGGCCTGAAATTGCATGTATATCATGAAACAATACGTAAACACCTAAGGAATATGGGAAAACTCCATAAAAAAGGTGTTTGGGTGCCTCACGATCTCTCCGATGATCATCGTTCCCAACGTGTGAACGTTGCTTCTTCTGGCTCGTAATGCGCGTGGACCATTTTTGGACAGAATTATCACTGGTGACGAAAAAAATGAATTATCTATGAGAATATTAAACGCCAAAAACAATGGCTCAGTCCTAGACAAAAACCACCTCCGACCCCAAAATAGGACTCCATCAGCAGAAAGTGG